TGACTGAAATTTCAAAATTTAAACAGCAAATGAGTGCTGAGTTCGACATGAGCGACTTGGGGCTGCTGTCCTACTACCTGGGTATTGAAGTGAGCCAAAAGGAAGGTCGAATCTGCTTGAAACAGGCAGCCTACGCTAAGCGGGTGCTCGAGAAATCGGGCATGTTAGAGTGTAACCAGACCAAGTATCCCATGGAAGCAAAGTTACATGTCGGGAAAGATGAATTCGGAACACCGGTTGACTCGACACACTACAGGAGAGTTATTGGCTGCTTAAGGTATCTTACACACACTCGACCAGATCTCATGTATGCAGTGGGTATAGCAAGCAGGTACATGGAGAAACCCACACAGAAACACCAACAAATTGTGAAACAAATACTAAGGTATGTGAAAGGAACTATGGATTTTGGGCTTACATACGAGAAAGATGACAAAAAACATGAAGTGCTGGGCTATACTGATAGCAGTTGGATAAGTGATTTAGATGATAGCAAAAGCACAGGAGGCATGGCGTTTTATCTCAACAAAAATCTAGTGTCTTGGAGCTCCCAAAAGCAGAAGACAGTGGCACTTTCGAGCTGTGAAGCTGAGTTTATGGCAGCTACAACAGCCGCTTGTGAAGGTATTTGGCTTGCTGGGTTACTACAGGAGATAACTCGGGTTGATGCCCGTCCCATTCAATTATACGTTGACAATAAATCCGCCATGGATTTGATGAAAAACCCGGTGTTCCACGGTAGAAGTAAACACATCAACATGTGGTTCCATTTCATACGGGATTGTGTGGAAAGAGGAGAAATTTCTGTCATTCATGTGCGGTCCGAAGAACAACAAGCTGACATCTTCACGAAGGCACTCCCGAAACTGAAGTTTGCTGAGATGCGGGAGCTGTTGGGTGTCAAAGATCTGAGATGAACAGGTTATGGATTAAGGGGGAGAATGTTGGAGTTAATCCAAACCGGTTCAAAGTAGTAGCACACGTTTCTGATTCAGGGGCATTTTAGTCTTTTTCTTTTGAGCATGAATAAGTAAATGCACGTTTGGCATTAGAGAGTTACTGGGTAATCGTTGCAGTTTTTTTAGGAGAAGTAGTTTCAATTTATGTTATTTAATTCCCATTGTAATCGTTGGTTTTAACGAGATCAAATAAACACAGAAACTTTTAGCCCCAATTTCCTTTGTTTTTTTTGTCACTTGTGTGCTCTGTTTTACACTAGCACCCTCTTCTTCTTCTTCTCATAGGGGCAAGTGTTGCTTTCGTTCCCAGTTGACGACGTTTTTGCTGGTGTGTGTGCTGTCAGCCACCTAGCGCCATTGTCGCCCCAATCGTGGACGAGGTTCACAAACGTCTCTCCGCTGCTGCTGCTTTACTCTATGGGTTTCGCACCACCATTTTCATTCTCCAATTCTTTCTGACGTCGCATTGCTGCTACCGACCTGAGCAATTACTTCCTATGCTCCGGTCGCTGTCCGCCTCATCTGTTCTCTTATTACATCAGAAACCACTGTTGTACCGCTGTTGTGTTGTTGCTGCCATCGCCAAACGCTACTAGGTGGGTGGGTGGATCCATTTGCAAGCAAGAAAACGTGTGTATGTATGTGTATTTCTGTTGTAGTATGTGTTGTGTGTGTGGTTTGTTTAGCCGGAAAACCGAGAACATCCACCACCACCACCGTAAGGTGGTGGCTGCCACCATGTGTCACTGCTGGCCACCACAAGGGTGGCTGTGTGTGTGTGTGTGTGTTTATCTTAGGGTGTATGTGTTATTTTGGATTTGCATTGCAAATTTTTTAATCGCCTCAGAATATTTAAAAGAAAAACTCGTAACCACCACCAGCCGCTGTGTTGGTTAGCAGTGTGCTTTGTTTGTGTTTAAACTTCATTTGGGATGCTTGGACGAAAATGGACTAGAACCATAACCACCACCATAAGGTGTTGGCCGTCGTCGTGAACCACCGTTGACCACCACTACCCGAGATGGTAGTGGGTGGTGCCTGACTAATGAAACCCTAGTAGGCCTAATGAAACCCTAATGGATCTAAGGACTTAGCTTTTGGGCCTTTGGGGTTACGCTTGGGTTGGAAACCCTAATAAGGGTTAGAAAACCCTAATTTAGGATTATATGGGTTATATGTTGTCGGGACCTGCATTTTTGAATGACCGAATTGGGATTAGGTATTAACCCGATCACACCATATGATTGACCTAGTAGATTGATGGACTTAATGGATTAAGTCCTTAAAGGGTTAAGTAAAAAACACTTAACCCTAGTTATCATTTTATGTGAAACCCTAATCTTAATTGGGCCTTAAATTGGGCCTTTCTATTGAGCTTTAGTGATTGGGCTATTGATGGGCCATCTAAGAACAATCATATGGACTAAGAATTTATGGATGGGCTTTAGGGTAAGGCCCATATGAGGTTCTGGCCCAATTTGGAAAATTAGGCCATAATTGGGCCTTTATGATTATGAGATATTGGGCTATTAGAAATGCCAAAAGTTTGGACTAAATGGTTGAGCCTTAAAATAAGACCATGCAAAGGTTTTGGCCTAATTTGGAAAATTGGGCTATATGTTGGGCTTTGATTCATAGTTTGACTTTTAGGCCTTTGGATTGGGCCTTGAATTGGAATCAAGCTAAGGTGGGGGTAAAGTAGTCTTTTACCCCAAACCTGGACTTATGGATATATGTTGGAACCTAATTATTAATTGGGTGTTATTTTGATGTTGACAGATACGGGAATCTATCATCCACCAGCTAGGGTTTTGTCTGCGGGACTTCATCAGTGTAAGTTGAGTTTTCCTCCAGTAGGAATGGGTCGAAGGCACCAATGTCGGCCCGTTTATGTATGTTAGCGTATGCCGGACTTAGGTCCAATGTCGGGGATAGCCCAATATAGCTTATATGTTCCGGACTTCGATCCGATGTTGGGGTAAGCCCGAGGAATGTTTGTATGCTTGATGTCTTCGTAATTCTTGCATGTACTTGTTTATGCTTTCTGGATTTCGGTCTGATACCGGGGCAAGCCCGATGAAGGTTTAGCTTATATGCTATGTGTTATATGTTCCAGACTTCGATCCAATGCCGGGGCAAGCCCAATGAAGATTTAGCTTATATGGCATGTGTTATGTGTTATGGACTTCGGTCCAATGCCAAGGAAAGCCCGAGGAAAGTTTATATGTTTATGTTATATGTTTATGTGATATAGGCTTGTTGTTATGTTATATGTATATCGGACTTCGGTCCGATGTCGGGTGGGGCCCGATACAGTGGGCAATGCCCAGTATACGCTATTATGTGTTCTTACATTTTGTAGAAATTACATGAATAGTCCTTTTATTAGTAAAACTACACAAATATCCTATGTCATTACATATTGCAGAAAATTAAAAAAAAAAAAAAAAAACTACAGAAAAAGTCCATGTCCTACAATTTGTAGCCATCACCACTCATTTCATTTCATTAGAAGATTAGCAACATATTATTCTTGGTTTTAATGTTATAGCACAATCTGGCTAGAGTTACTAAAAAAGTCAATATCAATTCAAGAGGCAACATAATAAGTGCTCCATATCAACTGTCTTACCTCTTAACCTAAATGATCAACACTTCTTTTTCTATGTAAACTCCTTACAAATCAATTATTTGAATAATATTAATGAATATAGGCCAACATGCGTTATTACAATAGTCATTCAAATACCTAATGTTCTTTAAAAATCTAAAAAAAAAAAAAGAAACAGAGTGATTGCCTCATCAAAATGCATTTCAAACAAATACGACTAAGAGATGAAGAGAATGAAGTTCGACCTCATCCATCATAGCTCTTGTATAATTTAATTTTAAACATACTAATCTACAATCAAAGCACCCCACCTCCACCTATTGTTATCTACAAAAGACAACAAACCCCTTCAACATTATCTACTCCATCTCATCCTGTAACTCACTACTTTCCCCTAAAGTAGAACAAAGCATGGTCGATCTCATTCAAATGATATGTCATTCTATTAGAACATCACATTTAAATTTTGTTTTTTAATTAACCATTATAAAAAAGTATGTCACTATGAAATAATCAATCGGATGCACACATATACACACAAACAACAACAAACATGCATAATTTCAGACATGTCTTGTTTAAATAATTTATTTGAATATATAAATAAGGAATAAATATATGTCGTACAAAGGAAGAAGATAGAGTTTAATATTGAACCTTAAATCGATGGGAAGAGCTTCAATTTTTTTTGGTGGGATAAATCGATTAACCTTCAAGAATTGGTGATCGACCAGAAGTGAAGATCAGAGTAAATAATATAAGCGACCATCGTTGAATTAAGCAATTTAAATTAAATTTGGATATGATCTTATTCCTAATTTTTTGCCATTAAATTCAAATATTTGTGCTAATAATTTGGGATCGATTGCAAAGGAATTTAAGCCATTTGAGCGGGATCGACTACATAAGGGCAGAGCAAGTATTTCACATAGATGATTTGAGCGGGAAAATTAAATGGGAGAGTGCTTAGTTATTGTCACGTGGCAAAAATGCTCTTATTTATTAGATTAGTGAATTCGATATAAAACAAAAGAAAACGAAGGAACCAAAGAACCAATGATAATCATCGAATGCAAATAACAATGACAAAAAAGGTCGAATGCAAATAACAATGACAAAAAAGATGTATGTTTTTTAGTTGGACGTGTATTTAACGGATTAAAAAACCATTTTTTTGTATATGTTTGTTTTTTTTTTTTTTTTTTAATTTAACGACATCTGTCGTCGGTAATATTCTCATTTCTTGTAGTTTTATAATTAGGAGGTGATAAGATGCATGAATCATCTTGTAGAGTTCCGAATATTATGAAGTAAAAATCAACAATATATTCCTTAATCATATAATATTCTTTCTTAAAATAAACCAAAATAAATATGACATTGTACAAGAGTAACAAGTACTATATATGAAGTACGATCTACATTTATTCTTATTTTTTTGTTTTGTTTCCAGACTCACTACTTTCAGAATGAGCACTACGTTTAACTCCTCGTTGTCCTTGAGGTAGCTTGCTTGTTTGGGCTAGTTTCTTTGGCTTTTTAAGAAAGTTCATGAACCATATTGTAGAGTTCTTTGGGTACCTTGTGTATTTCCCGTCCTTATAATCTATATAAAATAGACCGAATCGAACCGAATATCCATTTGCCCACTCAAAATTATCCATCAATGACCATGCAAAGTACCCCACTACTCTTACGCCATCCCTACAAAAGTGTAACGAGTTTGATTAGAATGGAGGGGAAGTAAAGAAAATGATCATTTGATCCATAATATATTATATTGCATAACATTACTTCATTGCTTGTAGCATGCTTTTTAGATGTGCATCATGATACTCAATCCGTTCATTATCAACAAGAGCTTCTTCAATTTTGAGATTGTTATTAATTGCATCAGGCCACCCTACAAACACGGTGAAGTTAAATTCGTAATCCTTTAAATAAACTACGATGAACTAATTAAGTAAATATTTGTAACAAAATATCATAACTATTACCATTTTCAGTTATGTTAATCAATGGATTTCCATAGGTATGTTTTATGTGCATCAACAATTTGTAAAATCCAGGTGGATATGAATAAAACCAAAAAACACCTCCCTACATTGATCAACGAGAAATAAATTAAATTAAAGGGACAAGATATGATAGAACTACATCTACTAATAAAATCGTACCTGTGGGCCGATAGGTTTCCCTTTAAGATCGACTGAAAAAAAAAAAAAAAAAAAACGTAAATGTTGATTTAGACATTTAGCATTTCGTTGAATCGACGTTAACATTTGTTGAGCATAAAACTCATTTCCTTTCTTTTTGTAATGTCACACCATATACCTTAAACTACAAAAGTAGGCTAAATTGCAATAAGGTTTAATTCATGTAGGATTGATCTTTAAACATACCAGGTTGCTGTTGGACCATAATGTCATTCGAGTAGGAAACTACATCAGTTGGTTCTGCAGTGGTGGCGTATTGTGAAATATAGTAATTTAAGCCAAGAAAATCGTAAGACCCCTTCAGTAATTTCGCCTGCTCTTTTGAGAATTTAGGTAATCGATCACCAACATTTTTTATCATTGTGTCAGGGTATTTGCCACTAAAGCAAGGCTCCATAAACCTATGCCAAAGTTCATAGGAGTACAAAAATAAGATTCTTAAGAAAATTGATTTCAACCTAAAGCTACGACAATTTTGGATTCACTAGTCCAATATTGTTATAAACGAAGGTGTTAAAAACGTGCGTTGTGATGAGAGAACGGTTATTTTTGTAATTTTGTTACACCTGGACTATTTTTTTTTTTTCTTACATATATATGAACCATTTATGTACTTGTCTTACGTATGGGCTATTTTACAACTTTGTTACATATGTATCATTTATGTAATTTTTTTCTATTTCCTATAGAGGAACCATTTCTATAATTTTATGAAGACCTGTATCGTTTCTATAATGTTTTTACTTGTGGACAATTTATGTAATTTTTTTTCATGGGGGAACCATTTTTGTCATTTTATCTATTTGAAACATGTAGACCATTTTTCCAATTTTTTCTCATAAAGTGACCATTGAGGTTATTTTATTTATTTGACAACTATATAGAGCAAAAGTGCTATTCATTTAGAAGAACAAAGCACTATAGAAATAACATGACCTTAGGAACAATGTTTAACATTTTATAAAAAGTTATAATATATAATGGGTCTCAAGATGTAGAAGATTTGCTATGGCTTAGACTAATTGGCTCAAAAGCCCTTCTTTGGCGTTGCCTTTGTGTACGATGTTTCACAATTTCTTGTTCTTGTCTTGTATTATGTAATATAGGCGTTTTAAACTTTTTATTAATAAAACAATTCAGTTATTATTAAATAGCCAAATTTCATTCATTAGTAGTTTCTAATCTAGGGGTTATAATTGAAAGGGTTGTTAATCGATTTTATTGACGTTGAATTGTTAAGAGTAATTTAATTGGTATACTTTTTTAGTTAAGAGTGGCCTTAATTAAATATTCCTAAGTTTGGGCTAATCCATTTGACTAACAAAATGTCTAACAAGGAGGTCTAGGTTCAATTTCAACTTATATTAACTTGTCATGTTAAAAAATCAATGTTCCTTAAATACTTTTAAAGATTGCTTGTTTTTTAAATGTGCTTTTTTATCTGAAAAATAAATAATTATATCAAAATTCATAATCTTTATTTTCTATAATTAAATGTCAATATTGATTTAACTTTAAGAAAAATATATTATTCTATAACTCAATCTCTAGTCATAACTGATTGATCACCATTTTGGATTCATTCACCGGTGAACGATCAACACGTCATCATTGATAGTATACACGTCATGTCGTCATCATTGATAGTATACTCGCCATTTACATGAGTATACTCATGGTATAAACAAGAAATCGTTTGATATTGGAAGTTCAATGCAGATGATGATCATTCATAATAGAAAGATGATCATCATTCATAATAGAATGAAAATATGAAAATTGTTAATATTCATCATATATATGAGAATCATCTTAAGAAATTGCAAAGTACACCATCTTAACGTTCCACGTTAACCCACCCTAAGGCCCCATAGGAGTTTAATTGTGAAACAGTAACAAGATTTTGAACGAACCAAAGTTTGAATCCTAAACCTCCAGTGTGTAATTTCGCACATCAACCATCATGTTTTCATATCATGAACGAGAATGATCATAATGTTCAATGAGAATAGTTAGATGTTTTAAGTTTAATCTAAAAGGTGACCATTTGTATGATAATCTAAGCATGCCAATCATTGATATTTATCACTAGCATAAGAATTGTCATATTATACAACAAGAAATCGTTAGATACTGTAAGATTGATAATCATTAACTAATATTAGAATACAAAAATGACAACCGTTGATATTTAACATTCACATGAAAATAACCATGATATACATTGAACTCATTGTGTATATGACGATTTCTCATTCTGTACCATGGCCATTATCATGTGATTATGTAAATGTTGAATATCAACAATTATCGAGTAATCATTCAAGTATGAATAAGAGTTATGTTCTTATAACTAAGAATGGAAGTGGAGTTGTAACATAAAAAATTATAAAATATGTCAATATTAATATTTAATTATAGAAATAAGAATTTAATAATTTTAATATATCTTGTTTGATATAAAATACGTGTTAAAATAAAAATAAAATGAACAATATAAGTCGTTAAGGGTGTATCTAAGCTTAGAGCCTTAAACACTACAACAATGTCACTGTCAATAATTAGAACCTCATTTAGTTTGATGGATGCGTGAGAATAGCTATCAAGGTTTTCAAAATTTTTGAGGTTCTCATTTAATCATTATTCACATATGTATGTGTATCTACGTATGAGGGGTGGACGTACACTACATCCACAGCAACAAAAAAGATTAATTAATTTTTATTTTTCAAAATAATATATTTTGACTTCTAAAAAATATTTTGATCCCACAGAACATTACTTTTCCCCAGGGTTTGAAATTTTTTTAGGTCCGTCTTTGCTATGTATATATAGTATGTATGTATTTATAAATATATTATTATATTAGTTTATAATCCGTGGAAATCTTAATTACAAAATTATTTAAACTTTCATAGTAAAATTCAAAATTATTAACCAATTATTTTAAATAACTTATTAATTAAAAGATATTTTTTAGTTATATAAAAATATAATATTTGATTTAAATAAATATGTGAAATTATATCACCTTATAATCTGTATTAATTTTATTTTAATTTTTATTCTACTATTATTAATTTAATGAAATTAAAGTAGGAAATTTAAAATTTTAAAATTTAAAATAGATAATAAATATGTTGTCAAATGAGAACATTAATTAAGAGATTTAATAAGATGATAAATAATAATAAAAAAAATTAATCTTTTATTAAAATAATGATGTATGAATATGAAGTACATGAAGCAGAGAGACTCACCATCCAAAATGGAAGTCCATCCCTCTAAGGGCTGCCTCCTTATCTTCGACTTTTTGTACATCAAGTGGCTCTAAATACGCTGCATCGAGCGTAATCCCAATCTTACCACCTTGGCTTTCCTGTAGATTTGGTTATACATCAACTTGTTCATATATTTATATTTTATGATCCGTGAATTTTGTTAATTCTTGCATGAAAAATATGAACAACACATACACATAGTAAACTAATTAACACAAATAAATTAATATAATAAAGAAAACGAATAGTAATTGATCGATGAGAGAGTATATAGGATATATTACTTGAAATTTTTGTCGATATAGCTCCACTACAGTAGCATGACAAAGGAGTAAGTTGTGCGCTACAATATACGGCTCAATTGCAGCATTCCCGATGTTACTTTCGTGAGCCCCTCGGCCAGGTGCGAATATACCAAACTCATATCCGGATATAGCATAATTTGCTGGTTCGTTCATTGTGATCCAATTCACAACCCGATCACCAAACTCCCAGAAGCAAAATTCAGCATATCCCTTAAAATCACATCTAATAATCAAGTATACACAACATTACCCTAGTTATTTTCATATTGTTATTTAAAAACCACAATAAATATATATATATATTTCTTATAAAAAGAGATTATAAAAAGAGAGAATTTCATATATACCCTTAAACATTAAAATATCAAATTTGTCCAACCTAATTCCTAAATATCATATTTATCCTTCACAAACTTTCAAAATATCATATTTGTCAAAATACTTATTTTTATTAATTTTTAAATATATTATAATTATTTTAAATCATTATTTTTATTAATTGACTATTATATCCTTATTATAACTTTAACTTCAAAATATCATTAATCTTCGAAATCATGAATATTAACAAAAAGTTAAGTTTCAAATCATATGTTCGTGATCATTGATTATGAACTTTGAAGAACAAATTGGATTCGAAGTAAATAATTGGTCAAACAACCTATGAGTAAGACTATAAGAGATTTCAATAAAACCATATCATAAAAGCTTCGAAGACTTAATTTACCAAATCTAAAGTATTAAGTGGGTTTCAAACCCAAAATCTAGTCAATGATTGGAGATGTATATAGGGAGTTTTTCACTTCAAATATAAAAAATTGTAAAAAGAATAAAATATAAAGAAAGTGAATCTTCCATGCCAATTAATTACAATCTCGGTCAAAATCTAAGAAACGCTTTCTAAAGTATATTCACAAATATGGTTTTTGAGAGTTATGTTGCAAGCAAGAACCCTAATTTGATTAATGCCGATTTGGCTATATAACAACAAATTGTGATTGAAAAACCCTAAATTATGGATTGAATTTGGTTTCTTTCTCAAGCGATGGTTGTGGTTAGTATTGTTATTTTGAATTTGGTTTATAATAGGGTATAATAGTCAACTAATACAAATAGAGATTTAAAATTATTTAAAAGATTTTTAAAAATATAGAAAATAAGATTTGGGTAAAATATGATATTTCAAAATTTATAAAGGATAAATATAATATTTAAAAATTAAATTGGATAAATATGATATTTTAATATTTAACAAGGATATATACAAAATTCTCCTTATAAAAAAAACTCAAATAGTTTTAATTGCATTATGCATGGTGTCATTTTGTTTTACTTACATAATTTTTTCATCTAAGAAACCCAAGTATTCTTGTTCCAGGCAATTGGGAGTGTCCCAATGCCATATAGTGACATATGGTGTAATTCCATTTTGTATAAGCTCATTGATTAGGTTATTGTAGTAGTCAACCCCTTCTCTATTGATGCCATTGTTTAGTCTTCCACCTAAAATATGAATTCCAATTTAAGTAAAATACACGTAAGGAATTTTTTTTTTCATTTTTCAAGTAACTTACCTGGTAATATTCTACTCCATGAAATTGAGAATCTATATGCATTTAGACCCATTTTCTTCAGCATTTGTACATCTTCCTGTTTATAAATACAAAATATATTTAAGAATAAAAAGGTTTAATAGATTAATGCAACTCCAATTCATTTAATCAGAGTAAACCAAAGTTAATTAAGGAAGATAACCTTGATCTTGAAATAAGAGTTAACACCATTAATTCCACTATCCCCATTAGCGATGGCAGCTGCAATATATTTCGAAACAAATTTTCATCAAGGTAAATTAAAGTTCCTGAAGAAAACGATCGAGTGTGGTCTAGTATTCAATAAAAAAATAAGATGAGACAAACCAGGTTTTTCGATGCAGAATGTATCCCAGATGCTTGGACTTCTTCCATATTCAGAAGCAGCACCTTCAATCTATGAGTAATAAGAACGTGATATCGTAATCTTGGATTAATATTTCATACGTCTTTCAGTAAGAAACCCTTACTTCCTAATTAATATTTTAATATTTAACGTTTTAACTTTTCTAAAAACATTGTTTCTAAAATATTCTATAAAACCCTTTCATGTTGTAGTCGTTTTTAAACATATATTATAGTTAAAATGTAACTATTTCTTTTATTTGAGATTTTTTATTAAAGGGTAAAAACATTTAAAAACCAGTTGGTAAACATACTCAATGCTAAAAGAAAACGGTATAAGAAATAAAAAAAAAATGTTTCAACTAACATTCTTCTTCCTCTTGAACCTCGAACAAAAAAAAATCTGGTAAAATTTTTATAGAAAATAAAACAATAAGATGTGACAATATACCTGATAAGCAGAAGTGGCAGCACCCCAAGTGAAATCAGATTCCAATTCAGTGAAATCAGCCCTGCTCATTTTATTTGTGGAAGGGGAGCTTTGAACTTCCATAATCGTATCGTTCATATATATTTTGAAGAGATTTTCAGTTTTTCTTGTGTTGTGTTAAGACAATTGGATAGCTTGCAATTCTATTTATAGACAAATGAAGCATCCTCCCAAATTTCCATTAGTCAATTGAACGAGAACATGTGGGTTTGACATGACAATCACATACTCGCATCATAAGTTTCTTATTTTATTTTTCATTTTTCCTTTTTACTATATTATTTAATCTCTATAATCATGTGTTTCATTTATACATTTTGTAACGTTTGATATAAATCTTCTATCATAATTAGGCTCATATTACTTAATCAACAATTTATATAATATATTAAAAAAATGTTTCCTTACTTTTTTTTGTCATTTTTGTCTCTTCACTACAAGAAACTAGAGTATTACCGACGACAAACGACGTCGCTAAAAGTGGGGCTTGTCTCCGCTAATAGCATTAGCGGCGACGTGTCGTCGCTAAAACGTCAACGTTAATGTTTTGTCGCTATTGATCGAGTTGTCGTCGCTAATACTTGTTAATCGTCGCTAAAGACGTGTCGCCGCTAATAAGCTCATGTCGCCGCTAAACCTATCGCCGGTATTAACCGACTGTCGCCATTAAAGGCGTCGCCGGTATTGGTGTTTTTCTTATATATATATATATATATATATATATATATATATATATATATATATATATATATATATATATATATATATATATATATATATATATATATATATATATTTCACATTAAAATTGAAAAAAAACTGGTATGATATTAATTAATTTAATCCTACATCATTCAATTCCAAAATATTAATACAGTATCCGTTTAAAATACTCGTCCAATTTAACATATAACAAAATCAAGAAAATACTAGTCTAAAATACTTGCACCGATAAAACATAAAAAAAATCCTACAACTATCTACTCGTCATCATCGCTCTCCTCGTTTCCTCCAGTTTCATTTCGTTGTGGCAACGAACGAAACCAATCTTCAAGTGCAGCACTACATGCCGGATCTTTTAACATTGTTTGAAGCATTTTCAACTACAAATAAAACAACATAGTCTTATAAATTAAACTTGCATTATAACATTCTATATACAAAATATACATTCCATATATCAAACTATAACCAAACTAACAATTACCAAACTATAAAATACAGATATATCAAACTATAACAAAACTAACAATTACCAATATATAAACTATTATCAAACTAACAATTACCAAATTTTGAAACTATTACTACACCAACAATTACCAACATTTTAAACAATTACCAAAATTAAATAGTCTTGTCACCTGTTATTGTAGTTGTGGTTGTGTTAGTGGTTGTTCCTGATCGTACATTAACACAACCGTAGAAGGTTTACACCCGATGCCTCTGATATGGCCACGTTGAACACCCAATATTTTTTCAAAACAATTTTGTGTATCCTTCGGTGTTAGACTGCTGGCTTCAGAAGAAGCTTGAGTTTGTTGACTGATCTCAAAGAGTAAACCATTCTGTATTTTCAAAAAATAAAAAATATAATAAAAATTAGATTACTAACTACTCCTTGACGATATAAGCACTTATATGAAAATACAAATTAACCACTTACGTATTGTTGCTCGACTGTAGGACTACTAAACACCCCTTGGCATTCAGTATTGGCCTTACGAAATGTTTTGATTTGAGCGATGTCTTATTTGACATTAAAAATTAGATTAATTATAATTTAAATAAACAGTTAAATATATCATAGCTTACTTCTTTGAAACATGCATTGCTATACGGGCACAATCCCCCTCTGTTTACAACTTGTTGTTGTGCACGGACTCCTTTGTTTGACATCGAACGCTTTAGAAATTTAGGAGTTTGAAAATGATCGGCTGCTTGCACCCAATTTTCATGTGACATACCATCGGGGGGGGGGGGGGGGGGCTAATGCCCTTGGGATATCTGTAAGCCCCCCGACATTCTCAAAATAAGTATGCGCTTTATTTTTTCGGCCACTATAAATTCTTTTCATAGTCGCATCAGTGCTCTGCAACAACTGAGCACGCTCGGGATCCAAGTTAACCTTATCTAAATCAAACTTATTCTACAAATAGAAAAAAAGTTAGTTAGTTAAATACCAATTAGAACTAAATTTAAAATATTGTCCAAGTTACCTTTAAATGAACCACTGTGACATTCCTTAAAGCGGGGGAAACATTGTCCCAACCAGATACGTTTAAAGGGATGTTCATCCATATATACTTCCCAATCTCACAGGTAAACCAATTACCATGGTTCCCGATAGGGGAATAGGTCATCTCCCTATCGAAATCCAAATCTATAGGCTTTCCCTTGTTTACCCGTATTATCTTTGATAGTTGAATGTTTTTTTGCTAGGCCTCTTCTTTTCTTAGGGAGCTCGGCTAGAATATATAATTAAAAATATTAGTCATGATAGCTTATAATAAATGGATAAAAATATCTAACAAATATATCATAATAAGACTTATCATCATGTTCGTGTTGACCACGATCAAAGCCTCCGGGAGGTGGTGGATCCCCGGCTCCATCACCTCCATGTCCTAAGCCCATAACATCCGCCATCACGTAGAAGAGTATCGCCCAACTAAACCCCATATATAGCCTGCGGAATTATAATATGAATAGAATTTACACATATTACATATACAAAAATAATACAGTTTCTATTATAATATTGTAGTTTCCAAATTGCATACAAATACATACACAATATAACATCATATTTTTTTTTCCATTATTGCATCCTACTTTTTTGTTCAATTTTTTCCATGAACAAATTCATTATACCAAAATATACTTCTAAATAGAAAAATCATATGTATACCAAACTATTAAACTTAAATATCACATAACCATACATATATACAATAGATTCTATTCCATTTTTTCACTTTATTTTAGACATACAATACAACTTTCATATTCCAATTAATTTCATACAATTAAACAATACATCCAATTCCATACAATACATCAAATTCAAATTCCATTTTCAAATAATTAAGCAATACATCTAATTTCATACAATCCTACCATTTTAGACATCCAATACCAATTTCATTAAAAAATATACACCTAAATACAAAATCACACAAACCATGTGTAATTCCATTTTCATGCCAATACACCACAATGAGCATAAACACAAATCAATTATACAATAGGTTGCATAAAATATGATAAAACATACATAATCACTCAAAAAATATCAATTTACAGCTAAAAAAAGACTTGGTCGACACTAAAAATCACTAACCAAAAAAACTTAGAAAACATAGAAATCAATGATACAATCATGTTTGAATGGTAAAACTAACATCAAAACACAAGAAGAACATAAATTAGGGAAAGAAATTCGACCTTAGATTGCTCAATTTCACTTAAATGTTGCTGTGGACGGAATTGCCCTCAATAAAGGTGGGTTGCTGGTAATGAAGGTGGGTCGCCGGTAAACAAGGCCGGTCGCCGGTAAACTGGCTCCCGGTGGTCGGAATCGTAAGGTGCAGATGGTGTAGGTGTAGTCGGTTTGAGAGATACAACGATAGAAGGAAAGAAGGGTCGACTGGGGGGTTATCTATCGCAACTCAATAGCGGCGACAGGAAGGTTTTAGTAGCGACATATTTGTTTTAGCGGAGACACCCCTGGACGGAAAAGAAAGCGTGCGTTTTAGGAGTTTACAACCGTAGGATTGAATAATGATCGAACAGACAGGGATTATTTCACGCGGATCGCCACAGTGTCAGCAATAGCGGCGACGCCAAGCAATAGCGGCGACATGTAACACGTCAATTACATGTCGCTGCTGTTGCTTGGGGTCGCCGCTAAAAGTGTCGCCGTTATTGCTAACATTTCTTGTAGTGCTTATTTTTTAGTTATTTAGACAATTTTCGTCATTGGAATAAATTTTTTTTTTATATTTTTTAGGAACCTTTTAATATTCAAAGTTTAACCACAACACTTTAAGAAATTGACAACTTTGATCTTTTTTCTAGAAACTTGATAATTCCAACCCCTTTAAGTCTTTAGCCATTTTGACATTTTTGGTCCTTATAGTTAAAACTTTTACATTTTTCATAAAAAAACCCAAAAAACGACGCCCGGGGTTTTCCGCTAGTTTGAAATTAATTTATTGCAACATGGCATTTACACAACATGATGTCTTTCGAGATTTAACCTCAGCTACGTGTTTCTCATTTGTCACACTAACGTTCTAACGTACCGACAACAGTTAGATATGCCTAATCATAAATGATTATATGGCATAGAGGTCACAGCAAAAACGTATCCTTTAGCAACAACAATAGTCGTCACAATTGGTTCCACCTGTCGTCGCAATTGCCTCGTAGCTAATACTCCTTTTTCGTCGCAAATATCGTCGTCACTAATAACTATCGTCGCTAAATGGTCACGGTCGTCCATATTGTCGTCGTCTCTATTACCTTTCCAGTCACCTGTCAGAGTTTTTTCGGCTACTCTTACTGGAATTAAATGTCATCGCAATTAATCAATGTCGTCCCTAAAGGTGTCACTGCTATTGTTGTTGTTTTTTTTAAAACAATTTATTTATGATATTAGTTTGTATATATTCTAAAATGCAACTTTAATAAGAATACTTACTACATTAAATAAAACATCAAATTTACCACATTACATAAACTATCTAATAAATCCCAAATAAATATTTAATATATCAACCACAAACTATCTAATAAATCCTAAATAACATCATCCATAACATAAAACAAGAAAAACATCAAAGTTACTTCCCCAATCGACATGTGAGTATTATGTCAAATATTATCTTCACAGGCCGTGTGTCGTTAGCTGCAAATAACTTGTACATTTTTTGTTTACTGCCATGCCTCTTCGTTTTGGAGGCACCGATGTATAATAAAATATTAGTCAAAATAATTATATATATATATATATATATATATATATATATATATATATATATATACAATATGAAATTCAATGAACTAAAATAAATCTTAACTACCATCGATGTGGTGATTACCAAAACCTCCACCGAACGGATGTGGTGACTCGTCACCACCGTCACCTCCATGGCCCATAACAACAACCATGAGATTGAGCAATACAATCCAAAAAAATGACATCCTAAAAAATTATAACACAATATGAATATATATATATATATATATATATATATATATATATATATATATATATATATATATATATATATATACACATGTAATATGATATTATTACAACAAAGACAAACCTTATTTTACTAGTCAAATGTAAATATTTTTTAATAATTCTTGCCCTCAGAAACTTCAGTGTCTGCTGACACATCACTATCATAATCAAAATCCTCCTCATCATAATCAGTCTCGAAAAAAAGACACATTATTGATGATACCCGTTGGTGGACCAACTTCAATATTATCTTCAACCGATTGAGAATTTTGAAAGTACTGGCCAAAGTCGATTGAAAGAGTGAAATTAGAAGAAGCATTACTAAAAACGACATCGATTGAATCATTGTCGACATTTTCAATAGGATCATGGTCAACACCGTTCATTAGTAGATCCCAAATTCTTCTATGATTAACATTTTCAACAACCCACCAGTGGTTGTCATTTTCGTTACTTCAAGAAGGTTCTTTGATGTAAAATACTTGCTTGGCCTACATAGCAAATATGAGTTGATCTCCGTTGCTCAATTCGCGTTGTGGGTCGATACTGGTGAAATTATTATCAGATTTAACTCCTGCGGTATCGAACCACTTGCAACGAAAAAGTATAGTGGAACATTTATGAGGATAATGTAACTCGATAATATCTTCTAGCTGAACGTAATATTTTTTCTTATTCTCTCCCTCAGTTAGAACCCCCCCCCCCCCCCCCCCCGAGTTTTGTGTTGATCGTTGGGCGTCACGCATAAGTATCATAAACCTAACACCATTCACTATGCAAGTGGTATAAGTAAAGGAATTCGCATGCGCACCAATTTAAAGAGCCGATAACACCTTGTTAAACTCTGATTGTTTTTGCATATCATAGACCTTGTGAAGGAACCATTTAGGGAATTCAGTTTTTTATCATTTTTAGGATGTAAAGATTTGAATTCACTACATTGATGAAAAAAATATATATAGATTTAGTTAAAAAATGAGAAATTAAAAACAGAAAATGAATTAAAAGATAAGAACACTTACGCAATATACTTTCTGACTTCATCACAACTATCAAGCACAAACCATTGTAGACGTTTTCTCTCTCCTGTAGATTGAGATTTTTCATTTTCTTTGCGCTAGGCGGTCGACACTTAGACTGAAATACCAATAACTTAGTTTCTTCTATGACAACATCCTCGTGTCTTTCAAGGCGATTTAATCGAGTCTCGACATCTTCAAGGTACATTGAACAAAATGATAATGTCTCTTCAGCGACATAACCCTCAGCTATAAAACCTTTTGATCTCGCCTTGTTTCTAACATAGTTTTTTTTTTCATATACCTTTCGAAGGGATACATCCATCTCATACATATTGGGCCTCCGCAAATACCTTCATCAGGTAAATGCAAAACTAAATGAACCATAATGTAAAAAAAAACACAGGTGGATAGATCACTTCTAATTTGCACAATATTTTAATAATAGTTGCTTTCGCTTCTTTCATATCCTTCACCGATAGCGTTCTTGAGCCCAATGTTAGATCCAAACCCATCTGGTATCAAACACCTTTGCCCAAAATCCCTTTAACTCCAATGGGTATCAAACGTTGCATAAGAATGTGATAATCATGAGATTTCAGCCCAATAATGTTAGTATTGGTTTCATTCACTTTCTTACTAATGTTAGATCCAAACCCATCTGGTAGTTTCACATCTCTTATAAAGAGAAGTACCCAAAAGACTCTCAGCCTCATTTTTTCCAATATGCATAAGATCGAAGTTGTGCTTCAGCTCCAGAGAAGACCAATAGTTAAGTTCAAAGAATATGTTCTTTTTAGACCAATTCAACTCGAAATCCTCACGATCTCTCTTAATACCAACTCGTTTAGTAGCTACTTTACCCTGTAGACGAGACAATAGACGTGCATGTTGTGCTTGTATTTCTTCCTCACTAAACTGTTTTGGAAGGCCTCTTGTCTCGTGTTCTCCATTATAGTCCAAAATTTTTCTCCATGGATGGTTAGCATCTAAGAACCGGTGATAACCAACATATACAACTTTCTTTGATACTCAATATGACGGAGTGTCTTCGTTGCAAGTCGGACAAGCTTTGCACCCTTGTCTTCTCCAACCATATAAACTACTACGAGCTGGAAAGTCATTTATTGTCCATATCAACATCACTTTCATATTGAAGATTGTATTTGTTGTTGCGTCTTTATTATGTACGCCAAAACTCCATAACTGCTTCAACTCATCCACCAACGGCTTAAGGAACACATCTAAGTCCTTCCCAGGTGCTTTAGGGCCGAGAATCAACAATGTCAACATGAAGGAGGACTCTTTCATGCATGGCCATGGTGGAAAGTTATTAGTAGTGAGTGTGACGGGACATGTGCTATGAGGATTACACATGTTACCAAACGGATCAAAACCATCAACAACAAGCCTTAAGCGTATGTTTCGAGGTTCCCTCAAGAAGTTAGGATACTTCATATCGATTTTTTTCCATGAAGTACCATAAACAGTATGAAGCATCGTACCATCTTTGGATCATTTGGTATTGTGCCAAATCATATCTTTAGATGTGTGTCTAGAACAGTACAAACGTTGTAGTCTGGGGGTCACAGGAGAGTATGATAACACCTTGCGACCCACCTTCTTACCCTTTGTATTTTCATCAACCCACCGAATCCCATTACAAATTGGACACTTTTGCAACAACTTATGTTCTTTCCAAAAAAGAGAGCAGACGTTTTTACATACGTGTATCGACTTATAACCCAAGCCGATCTTTTTAAGTGTCTTTTTAGCTTCATAATGTTACGGGGGGACCCTGTTTCCTTGGGGAAATGCAGTTTGTAACAACTCAAGAAGATGACCGAATGAACTATCAGTCCATTTGTTGATCACCTTGATATGCATTAACTTTGCTAAAAAGTCAACGGACGAAAACGAACATTCAGGATATAATTTTAATTTGACTTCCTCTAACAGCTTTTGAAATCCATCATTGACACCAGTACCCTTTGTATCCAGGTTCCCTTCGCCGCGGTTAGTATCATTTTCAATCATACCCCGCATAACATCAACAATAACATCGTCCATCTCGTTACTACACGGTATGTCTTCAACAACCGGATGAACTGTATGTTCTCCGTGATACTTCCATATAATATAATTTGGACTAAAACCATGTTGAGGTATATGGAATTTCATTATGGCTAGTAGTAAATTTATTGACATTACAATTGGTACATGGGCATCTGATTTGAAATTTGTTATCGACGTGTGGTTTTGACATCTCGATAAAAGATTCAAGTCCTTGTTAGAACATGGTAGAGTTATGGTGTTCAACAGTAGTCTAGGTTTTATTAATACACATGTTGCAACTGAAATATAAGTTAAGTTAATGAATATGATGGATTAAGTAATTAAAAATCTAGTTTTTATTTTTATAGTATTGTACTTTAAATAATTAAGTTATTAGATTACAATTTTGTAGAATTACCGTTTTATGTTTTTCATTTTTGTTTTGTATTATAGCATTTTAGTTTAAACAATTGTAGTATATATATATATATATATATATATATATATATATATATATATATATATATATATATATATATATATATATATATATCTTTTGTTTCTGTTGTAACGTTGAATACTCCTTTTAATTAACTAGTTGTCGGATTATAATAATCACAAAAATTATAATGGTAAAATAATAATATATTTTATTAGATTGCAATGTCTCAAACTCTAAAGGTCAATACACTAAAAGGGATTTTCGATGCGTTAAATTCGTTTAATTTATTTTTTTATTTATTTATTTTCATCATAAGATTGTTTATTTGGTTTTACTTTTTCGAGTTAAAATTTTCATATATAATTGGTAGTTTTTTTTTCATAATAAGTTTTTTTGTTTTCATAATAAGATTCATTTAATCTAATTTTCACTTAAAGTGATTAATATTTCAATAACTAATTTATAAATAATTTAATTAGTTTATTATGGTTGTATTATTGAATGATAACTATCATATTATTGAATGATAACTATCATATTTTATGAACAAATGATTGTATTACTGAATCGATTATTATAATATATAACCATCTATTTTTTGTGATTATCTCCAAGGTAAAATGATATTGAAGTTTAACAAAAGGAGAATTTGTACATTGTCTTCATGTATCTTGATGTTTTTGAAATACAAGGTCGTATAAGTTGAAATAATGTCATATGTCCACTTTCATGTGAAATGGTGTTGTTAGAGTAAAAAAAAAAGAATTTGTACATTGGAAAATTCTAAAGAATATGAAAGTTGATTATATCAAAGAAAAAAATATGAAAGTTATCATATCAAAATCTTTTTTGGAAATAGTTGTGTTTATTATCGTTAAAAAATATAAATATAGTCACTAATGTTTTAATCATAAAATATTTTTATTTGTATGTTATAAACTAAACTATGACTTTTTTTTTCTAAATATATAAAATATATTTCATAAGTGATATAAGATTATAGAAAAAATTATGTACTATGATGAATTTACTTTGTTTTTTTAATGAGTAAATTACACAAATGATCCTTATGGTTTAGGGTGATATGTATGTTTGGTCCCTAACTTGTTTTTTTTAACTCGAAAGGTCCTTACTTTTTGTTTTTGTTATTCTTTTGGTCCCTGTTTTAACTAAAAAGACTATTTTGTCCTTGATTTTTTTTATTTATTTAAATAAACACACCCCAACCTCACCCATTCATCTTACCTTACATACTCTACCATTTTTTCCTATTTAAATAATAGTCTTTTTAGGTAAGACAAAGACCAAGCGTGTAAGAAAAATAAACAGTAGGGACCAAGCGTATAACAAAAACAAACAATAGAGACTTTCCGAGTTAAAAAAAAAAAAAATCAGAGACAAAATG